TGAAGATTTTCATATTTTCTATTATTTTTAAAAGATTCGTTAATTACGGAATTATTGAAAATAATTGTAACAATATCCAGTGATCCAATCTGAATGAAAATACAATTATTCGATTTGTCTCGACTAGGCGAATCGTATGGTAGAAATATTACTCCCTAAAGTGACCAATTCATTTTTTTGACATTAACTAAGATTGATCGACCAATTAGGAAGAGACGTCCTTAAATTGACCATTTCATTTTTTTGGCGATCAAGAATTGTCATTTTAAAATGTAATATCTCGACATCCTGTAACCCGATTTGAACGAAAGTAGATTAGACAAATCGAATAATAGTACTTTCGCTCAAATCGGATCGCTGGACGTCGATATATTACGTATGTCCTAATATTATATTTGGGGCATGAAAGTATATACGTATACCGATTCGATACAAGCGGTCATGTGTCGTATTACATTTAACGCTCAGAAAATTTGGGCGGTCTAGTATAATTTTGGACGATGACGGGTAGTCGGGTACGTACTTATGATCGCTACTGTAGCAATAAATGTTATTTCCATTGGCATTGCTCTTTATTTCCGTTTTCGGTATCCTAAAATCAAACGAACTTGACGAAAGTTCAGTATTTAGATTGTTACCTATTTCTTTATTACTGCTATTTCTATCGCCATGGTTATTTCTGTTTTCATGGTTTGCGAGAGTGGTCTATGAAACAACAGCGGTGACGACATCGACACTAGGAGGCCGTTTTTCACCCAAAACAGTCCACGATACGGGTAAAAGAGAAGCACAAAATTCATGATTGACGTGATCGTTCTTTGCATCCTTACAAAAGTCGGTGGTAAATTCATATAAACGGAAGGTAAATTTATTGAGATATTAAAACTAAATGAACAAAAACAACAAATACACTCAAATGCAGTTTACACCAGTTGAATATTTACGTTCACTTCTAACTTAATTTCAATTCCAACTGATACAGGTACTTGTTATTCAATTAAAATAATTTCGAATACTTAGGGCCAAGTATCAGTTTATATTTTCCAAACGATTTCAATTTTAGTACACCACACAAGATGGAGATACACCAGCGGCCTGCCAAAAGGAACAAAATTGGCATACTTCTTTAAATACTTTTATTACTCAAATTTATTGATTCTTCGCTTGTTCATTTATATTTTCAGCCCAATTTCTAAATTCAGGGCATACGCCATGACTTGAGCCAAATACAATAACCTTAACCTCACGTAAGTGTGAGAATTTAGTCGACAATAATGGAGCCACGGCTCTTTCAGTAATATTAAAGCAACGAATAAACTCGATTTTCTCGAGTTTTGTGCATGCAGCTAATCCATCGAATGGTGGGCTATTCTCAAAATTCAGTAAAACAAATGTAACACAGCGTAATGAAGATGCTTGACTACGCAACGCCGACATGAACATAGATTGATGATCACCACATGTAGAAAGAGTGAATGAAACTAGATCTGTTTGACAAGAAATTAAAGAGCAAAAGTTTTGGACGAGTTTGATTTTACAATCTCGCTCCGAAGTATAAAGAAACACCCGAGAAAGATCCAGATTTTGCTAAAGAATAATTAAGAAGTTTAAGAAGACGAAGATGTCGAATAGCAAAATATGACATACTCACCACTTTAGTAAAAGATTTGGATAATGTTACAAACACCTGATCGAAATTCGCATAATTTCCAGATAAAAGCAGGTTTTTCGTTGGATTAGTTATGTTTCTGATTTGTAGTTCCGCCAAGATTTTTGCATATTTTCCAATAATATCGTAGTTTATTTGATCCATACGATCGGGAAGAACCATTTTGACAGAAGTTAATCTGGCACCACTCGCGGCAAATAATTGAAGAAGCGTTCGTACGAGTGCAATTGCGGCTGGTGTAGATGTCTGAAGAGCAGTTGATTGTGTTTGTCGACACCATTCCCAAACGGTAAACAGCATTTCTTTATACTCTAGTTGTCGAATTAACGAGGGATAATTAAAGGATGGTCGTTGTTGTTGCTGTTGTTGTCGACCTCGTCTATTGATTAAATTAGGAAATACGAGGCCAAAATCTTTGAGTATTTGTAGCTGTTCATTGTTCATACAAGATAAATACACATCAATGATATTAAACCAATGCTTCGAATGAGTTTTAGTAAATGGTTGTTTCCAAAGTTGGATTACTGCTGCACTACACCATTCTCTATTCACTAAAATACAATTAAATAAATCCTTATATCCCAGACTATCAAATTCATCGAATCTACGAACTGGCTCGATGACATAACGAAAAATTTCTTCCAAAATATCATGATTAAGATTCTCCCTACACAAAAGAAAATGATTTTGTATTGACAATAAAGTTAATAAATACGTTATTGTTTTTTATCTTCCAAGTCAATAAAAAACCAACCTGATTCGTTTTAACAGTTCACCATTTGACATAATTTAAAATATTTAGAATAATAAAAAAATGGCTGTGGTGTATTTATCAATGAAATTTATACGAGTAAGTTTGTGTTTGTATTACCAATTAAGTATTGACTTTCGAGAAGATTTGAGATTAAACTCGAACTTATTAGAAAGTCCTAAAATCTACATGTACTACACGTATCGGTATTTCCTAACTACGTAACACTAATTTCGTATAATACATATACAGTCGCCACAGAAAGTAACGCCCGATTTGGATGTGCAACATTAACATAAATTTAAATGTGGCGGTTTTCCCCCTTTTTATTATTGTTGACTGCAAATTTTTTTTCGTTTCTTTTGAACATACACTGGGCGAAATTTGTTGGCTGTAAATATAAAACACACCGCCTCCAGTTGACCGACTTTGACAAGGTTAAAATGGGTAATTTGGATTGGGGTTTTGAGTGCCGTACAAGTTGCAATAATGGTCTCTTGCCGAATACAAGAGAAATAGGAAAAAAGAAAATTTACCAGGGTCTGGAAGGTCACAAGTTCTTAACAAGTAAGAAAAAGAATGCACATTTACAAGAAGCCAAAAAAGACAACCTGAGCCATTTCGTGACATTGTCAACAAAAAATCTTTGTAAAAATTTACCCGAAGATTCTTTAAGGTAATTTCATCCTTTTTCATAATATATTATGCTCATTAATTTGAAAAAATATGGCGTTTCAGCTTAACTCTAACTCTAACCCTAATTCTAAAAAGATTACGAAATAGGAATATTAATGATTATGAACCCATTAACGTATTCCCCCATAGAAAACATCTAGAAACTATTGTAAAACAATATTCTAAGTGTAAAAGCTTTTCAAAAATTATGAACATGTTCTGAAGAAAGTGTAGTCAAAATGTAACGTGTTGTGAGCTCGATGCCGTAAGGAATCGAGGTGATATTGAAGCCATATAGAGGGTGGTACTGAACGTACATGTAGTTTAACCATATTAATATCGATATGCGTTATCGGTGTTGTTTCACAATTTACGTATCGGTATACATGTAACGGTAATAGAAATATAAAATTATTGAACATGGTTAAAAAACAAAAACCCGATGTGGGCAAAAATTTTATCATTTTTCACGAATTACTAGACTAAGAGGAATACCGCTAAGAAATATAATTCTCCAAAAAGAAATTATTATTTTTCTTATAAGCGGTAATTTTAACTTAATAGCGATAGGTTCTTTTATACTCTAAATACATTACATGTATCGATATGCATAAAGAAAAACAAATGTACAGTATCGTATCGGTATAGAGAATAAATAATGGTCGCTGTGCAACTTAAAAACAGTTGACATCGACGATTCAATGTTTTTTTGAATTTAATTAAAAGTGGCTTTCGTCTTGTTTTTATTAGAAGTGCTTCATCATGGATTCGTAGTTTTCTTGTAAGACGCTCGATCTCTCTTCATTCTTTTTAATTTCATGTTGGTATACATTTACCGATACAAACTGACCCTAATGCTAAATATTCGATATACATGTACGTACGTAAATTTTAACATAAAAAGTCAATATCGATATGATTTATCGTTATACAGAACGTATTTAGAAATAAATGTAGTTTTTTTCGTAAAGATTCGACTGGAGTAAACTGCATTTGGATGGATTTTTGGTTTATTGTTCAAATTTGTACATGTATATAATACTTTTTGCGATTTCATCTCATCAATTCTCTGTCTTTCAAGTGATTCAGGATATTCTAAAGAGCTGTAGTGCTGAAAATGTAAAGTATTTAATTTCGATGTTGTCTATTGAATGGGACAGATCGATAGATCTGATAAAGTTCTGGAATAGGGTTCCAACATTTTTCAATAATAAATTCGCACCATCCAAAGACATTATTTTATCTTCGATTGTACTCTTATATAGATGTCGTATGCAAGATCTCTGTGATGACTCCGCTCACTAATGGTCGTTCACATGTTAGGATCTCGTACTAATCATCCCAAAACTATAAATATCTGCAGCTTTAGTGTATGACTTTCCATGTAACACCTCTGGACTAATATAAGTACTCCGCAAATGTCTAGCTAAACCGGTAAGTCCAAAGTCGGCAATGAAAGCATAAACAGATATCAATATATTTCCAGAGTGAAAGTCACGATGCACAGATCCTTCTTTGTGAATTTTTTCTAGCACGAAAATAATAAATATAAAGTGTGAACTTTACAACTCAATTTTTTGTACATGTAGTTAGAATTAATATACATGCACTTGCGAAGACCATCTCTTGCATAATACATGTATCTTATTATCGAGTATTCATTTATAGCTGGATTTTACCCCATGATATGTATTAGTGCACTTTAGAGTAGTCTTGATCTATTTTGAAAAACTTAGTTATTTTAGAAAAAAAGCATTATGCTTACAATTTAGAACCGTCCATTTTACCTCGTTTATAAACTCGGATGTAATCTGTTTTGAATCATGTAACGATTTCAACCCAATTTTTCCGTGTTCGTTAGGTTGTATAAATTTATTTTTTTATGCTTCCATTTATTGGACCGTCCAAACAGGTTGCTTTCTTGATCTCTATGCAGTGTTATATTTTAATTTCTAATTTATCTCGCTAGTTTTTTAATCCTTAATTATATTTTAAATACTCTCTTAAACGATAGTGTGCATTACGCAATAAATTCTAGAATAATACTTCATAATGTAATCAAAAAGATTTATATATAGTCCTGAATTAATTGCATACAATTTTTCTCCTAGTAGTTTAGACTTGTAAAATTGTTGTACTTGATTGTGGTTAGGACCTTTGATCCAGTAATTGTTAACGACCTATTGATTGATTGAAAAGCGCTTTGTTTAAGGATTTAGCTAGAAAAAGCAACGATTGAAATTAATAGAAAAAAATATTATTGATAAGAGAACCTGTCACGTAAAATATAGAACCAAAACCACCTTACCTAAAACCTGAACTATCCAAGTTCTGATATCCGTAGATATCAGCACAGGAATTAAAAACTAATAAGCATCATTGAGTCAAGTATGGTGCATAAAATCTAAAGTCATCAAACGTTTGTATTTTATAAAATGGATGAACTTCTTTACTAAGTAAATACAAAATTTAATCCGTGGATATGATAGAATAGATCTTTTCTGAGCATATTCACGATTAAATTTTGTATTTACTTCTTAGTAAAAAAGTTCATCCATTTTATAAAATACAAACGTTTGATGACTTTAGATTTTATGCACCATAGTAGAATTGGGTGCAAAATTGTAACAACAGATAAATAATATTAATGAACTAATGAAGTTAGTAGACTATTTTTACCTTCATTTCGTTTTTTGGAACGGGAAATTGGCACTTATAGACGTGGTATCAATAGCTATATCATATTCACTAGTCATATATGCTAATATTTAATATAAATAAGAGCAATTATATAACGTGATTGATTTGCAGATACAAGGTTTTCTGGAAAAAAATAAAAAGAATATTAAATAGTAATTTACCTTCAACTGACGCTAATATGAAATGTCAATATGAACAATATTTCGAAATGAAAGTACCATTGTCAGTTGGAATTGAAATTAATTTTGAAGTAAATATTCGACTGCATTTGAGTGGATCGTTGTTTGTTTATATTTTGTAATCTCATCTCCTTATCAATTTTTTTACTTCTCGTTTAAGACACTCAATAATTTCTTCGTGAAAATGCAAAGTATTCGGTTTCCACATCTTACCGATCGATATCGTAGATAAGCTTGCTGGCCGTAACTATTACAACGAATTACAACATATAGGTTGCAACATTACAACTTTGCAAAAACAATTACGGGCGACAAGCTTTAATCTAGATATGATCGATAAAGGTGTCAAGTTCCTCAGTAGTTGATTTTTGGAATAGGACCCCAACGTTTTCAATAATAAAATGTAACATTATTTGGTATTGTAGGTCGTACTCCGTTATACATGTAGATGTCTAATACGAGATCATCCTCATGACTCTGCCCAACGAATAGTTGTTCGTCTGTTACAGTATCATACATAATCATTCCAAATCTATAAATATTTGCAGCTTTAATGTATAGTTTTCTACTTAGTACCTCTGTACGATGCATAAATTCAATGAATGTCTTAATTTTGCTTCCTAAGCCAATTCTTGGCGTTGGTACATGTACGTATTTGCGTAGATCGCCATCATACGTATGTGATCACTTCTATTGGTAGCTGGATTTTTTAGTTATTCTATCACTGTAATTTAGAGCAGCCTTAATCTAATTTTGAAAAAGTCAACGCAACGTCAGTTTTTCCCGACCGTTCAAATTTATTTACTTCACGATTCCACTTGTACAATGGTCCATCCAACCAAGTTGCTTTAATTCAAACCTCATTTTGCAAAGTATTCAATATTAGCAAATTTTTAAAAGGGATCCATTCAAAAAAAATCCATCATTATAAATTTTGTCACATTCATTTATTAGACTAGTGATATCTTTATTTCCGCTAAACCATTCAGTTTTATAAACTCATTTATGGACATATTTGTTTGACAGCAGTGCCTTATTTAAAAAAACGATAATTTATATGTGTGGAAGTCGTCGTTTGAGTTTGTATATCGATTTATCAAAGTTGTCTCCGAGGAAAATTGTAAAAGATCTGGATATAACCGAGGAAACTACTGTACTATATTGGAAAGGGTTAGTGTATGGGTTCGGAATATAGATTATCTTAACGATAGATCTCCATACATGTAGCCGAGTATCCATATCCACTTTACATAAACTCCCCCATGTGTATCCAGGGGTGCTAATCAATTTTAAAGCTCCTAAAATTTAAGAGACCCGGAGTACTATTTGCGGAGAAATACAGTAATGAGATAATGATAAAAATGAGACATCGATTTGACTTCGTTAAAAAAAGAGTAACATCGATCTCTGTATGAAGATGAGACAGAACGAATAAAAAAGAAGCCTTCTATTGTTGTGTGTAAATAATATAATAAAAAAGG